TCTCTGCTCTTCTCTGCTCTGCTCTTCTCTGCTCTTCTCTTCTCTGCTCTTCTCTGCTCTGCTCTTCTCTTCTCTGCTCTGCGCTTCTCATCTCAGCTCTTCTCTTCTCATCTCTGCTCTTCTCTGCTCTTCTCATCTCATCTCTGCTCTGCTCTTCTCATCTCTTCTCTGCTCTGCTCTTCTCTTCTCATCTCTGCTCTTCTCTGCTCTGCTCTGCTCTTCTCATCTCTGCTCTTCTCTGCTCTTCTCTGCTCTGCTCTGTCTGCTCATCTCATCTCTGCTCTGCTCTGCTCATCTCTTCTCTGCTCATCTCATCTCTGCTCTTCTCTTCTCATCTCATCTCTTCTCTTCTCTGCTCATCTCATCTCATCTCATCTCTTCTTTGCTCATCTCATCTCTGCTCTTCTCTGCTCATCTCTGCTCTTCTCTGCTCTTCTCTTCTCTTCTCTGCTCTGCTCATCTCTGCTCATCTCTTCTCTTCTCTTCTCATCGCTCTTCTCTTCTCATCTCATCTCTTCTCTTCTCTGCTCATCTCATCTCATCTCATCTCTTCTTTGCTCATCTCATCTCTGCTCTTCTCTGCTCATCTCTGCTCTTCTCTGCTCTTCTCTTCTCTTCTCTGCTCTGCTCATCTCTGCTCATCTCTTCTCTTCTCTTCTCATCTCTGCTCTTCTCTGCTCTGCTCTTCTCATCTCTGCACTTCTCTGCTCTTCTCTTCTCTTCTTTGCTCATCTCTGCTCTTCTCATCTCGTCTCGTCTCTGCTCTGCTCTTCTCATCTATTCTCTGCTCTTCTCTTTTCTCTTCTCATCTTTGCTCTTCTCTGCTCTGCTCTTCTCATCTCTGCACTTCTCTGCTCTTCTCTTCTCTTCTTTGCTCATCTCTGCTCTTCTCATCTCGTCTCGTCTCTGCTCTGCTCTTCTCATCTATTCTCTGCTCTTCTCTTTTCTCTTCTCATCTTTGCTCTTCTCTGCTCTGCTCTTCTCATCTCTGCTTTTCTCTGCTCTTCTCATCTCTGCTCTTCTCTTCTCTGCTATGCTCTTCTCATCTCATCTATGCTCTTCTATTCTCTTCTCTTCTCTGGCGTGTCTCTGGTTTACACATGCTCGTCTGTGATGTGTTCCTCTTGCTCTGCTCTCATTCCTCAGATGCCTTGTGTACGGTGGTCTACTTTGATGACTGCGTGTCCATCCGTCAGTGTAAGCAGTACTGCGAGTCGATGGGCGGATCAAAGTACCGCTGGTTTCATAACGCCTGCTGTGAGTGTATCGGACCTGAATGTCTGGACTACGGCAGTAAAGCCGTCAAATGCATGAACTGCCTCATCTGAGAGCTCAACACTGACTGTACACACTTCATCTGCTGTTTTATTGTATAAAACACTTCTGTCCATTTCTCTTCTTGTTTACAGATCTTATTTCTTATTCTTGTCTTTTGGAAAATAAGGTCACGGTTTTTTTTTTTGGTTTTTTTTTGTAAGTTATCAATACTGTTTGTGAATTATTACAGCAGCATGTAGAGGTCGATTCTCATTCAAATCATATTCCATCTGTATATAGTTCCCATTTCATATTCATATTTCTGGGTTAACTATTAAAAACTAAAGTAAACTGTTGTGTTTGTTTTCAAATTCATTCACTGCTGTTTGTTGTACAGCATTTTGATTTGATGATTTGAAATGAAAAAAATATTTAATCTGTATTTTTTTATACAGTTTTATACAGTTTTGAGTTTTGGAGTTTTTTTGAGTGTTTGAATTGAGTGTTTTTTTTTTACAAATGGAAAACAACATGGATGCTATTTTATCCAACAATCAAAGTTTAGGTTAAAATATATCTGAATATAAAAGGGAAGTGTGTATTTTAGATGGGCATGTTGTCAGAACGTTCTGGCTATGTTCTCTTAAAGTTATGAACAAAATGTTTCCAGTAATGCTAATAGAATGTTCATTTAAAGTTATCTGGTCTTTAGTAATGTTCTCAAAACATCGGCACAAAAATGTCATTTATACATTGTTTCATAGAACGTTTTTGTTCTAAAATGTTTTGGACATTTGTGTAACGTTTTTAAATGTTTCAACTTGTTTCGGAATGTTCAGGGAACATTCAAAAGTAACATTCCCCTAATGTTTGCAAAATGACTAAATGGAAGTGTCGAATAAGAAAAAAAACGTTTTTTAATACATTTAAAAAAAATCGACTTTTAGAACATTTAGAGAACATAACATAATGGGAAACATTCTTAGAACACATTTTATTAACTGAGAAACTTGTAAGGTTTTCACTATTTTTAAAAACATTTTGCATTTCACTTTTTAAAATATTTTTTAAATATTCTATAGACACTATTTAAAATATTTACTATTTAAAAATAGTCCTGGCAAATTAATTTTTAAAACTACATTCCATGAAGTCTCTCAATACCTCACCTACCCATAAACTAGTTCATTGGCCGTCCTCCAAACTAGTTCATTTCCTGTTCACATGAACAGTTATTCTGTTATTCTGGTGTGAATCCCTCACCGCAGCTCTTGTCTCTGCCAAACTCTCAATGTAAGTTGGCATAAATGCGTCATGACAGCCAGATGTAGTCAGCATCAGTCAGACCTCATTAACAGCACAGCTGACAGGTGTGTGTGTGTGTGTGTGTGTTTGCATGCTTCTGTAGTGACCTCAAAGACTTTCTTTGTCTGACTTTCAGACACACTTTTACTATTCTTGCTATAAAACCTTTGAGAGGTTCAGTAAAGTGCAGCAAAATTCAAGTTGAGCTTAAATTGCTGCGTACATTTCAGTTATTTTTATAACTGGAAATTATTTTAGTATTACTAAATATTGTAGTCTATAACTTATAGTTTTATTAATATTTTGATTTAGTTTTTATTTTTATATTTTCTGTTTTAATTTTAGTTGAAGTTTGAGTAATTTTGTTTTTAAATATGTATATATCGTTTTTATATAACCCTGAACTGATTGAAATTATTAATGTTTTATATATTTATCTTTATTGTTAATTTTCATACATAATTTTTTATTTAAAAAATGATCTAAAACTAATTGAGGCCTATGTACTTCATTGACTTAGAGATCTGTGAAATATTTTTCTCTAAAGGAGATCTCAAACAGTATTATGTTTTCGTGTTATTTTTAAGTTATAAATACGTAATCCTCAATGACTGAACAGTGTTGTGTTTCTGAATGGTGTAAATGCTGTAGCGCCATCTGCAGGATGGTAATGGCATTACACACATTTATAATATTCACAACAAAAGATCTCTGCATTAGATATAAATTATTACAGTATATGAAAACAGTTCGTTGCTGACAAACTCAGTCATGATGAGGTCTTTAAATGGTTAAATGGATCAGTTTGTTAGAGTTTATAATGGCTTAAAATACATTCGTCGAGTCCCTCTTTCTCCACGAGGTGTCACTTTCAGCGTATTTATTTTCTGATGTGTAATAAAAGTTATTATTATTTTTTTTTTTTTACCGTGGTTAAAAAGTTAAATAAATAAATAAAATTCTATATTTCGAAACTGGCCTGTCCTATGAAAATGTTAAGCTAAGTTTATATTGTTTCAAGGATGTTTTATTTTTACTGTATAACATGTTCTGATTTGAAGAGTGTCGCTGCCTGGATTTTACCAAACGCGTTCCGTCGTCCGTACGCACAGCACTAGTTCTTGCTCCGTTCGGGCTTCCATACTTCGCCTCGTTCTGGCTCTCAGTCGGTCCTGCAGCGAAGATGGCGGAAGCTCCCCCGCGGCCCTGCCGGTTCTTCTGTCACCGGTGCTCGGAAGAGATCAGCCCTCGGCTCCCGGTAAGACGCCGCGGTCTTAACGAGCCTTGCCCGAACGTTCTGAAGCGGTATGGATGGGTGTAACGGAGCAAACGGCCTCTTTTATTGCGCGTTTCTCCGCGCTGGCTGTGCTAACTGCTAACAGGCTGCTGGTTGCCAATAGCAACAATCAGGTTTAAAATGCGGATTTAATTGAATTACACTTAACTGGAGAGCTGAGAGTTTAATCAGACGGACTCTTGGCAGATCTGAGCGCAGATTAACGATCGTTCCAGAGCTCTGCTGTTTGAATAACCTGTCAAACCAGAAGACTGCTTGTTATGACATGAACTCGGTACTTTCACTAACTAACGTTAACGTTAGTCATAGTAAATCATTTAATATTGACATGATGGTATTTAGTTATAATCTTGTAAAATGTGTCTGGCTTGTGTTTCATATGTGGTTCATTGGTCTGATCTGTAGATCATGTGGTTTACTTGGTCTGAAGACAGAGCTAGTTATGAGGTTAGCTGGGTAACTAGGCCTAGTTATGTTATTTGTTAAATATTCTGCGATTAATACCGTCCTGCTATAAAGTTTCAGATGTTCATAGCTCTGATTTTGGTCTCTGGTCTGTCGTGTCATGTAGTTTAATTGCCTATCGCTGAAAACTGGTGGCTATTAGAGATCAACTAGTTAGATTTGATGAACTAATTATGATAAGAGACTTGGTTAGATGCTGATGTGTTTTGATCTGTTATTGGGTGAAACAGATGGCTGGTTATTATGTGATCAGCTGGTTAGTTTTTTGTGTTTTTAACTAGGCCTATTTATTGTAAGACTGTTTAGGTGTTTAAGTTGTTCAAAGGTTGTTTCATGGTTGGTTTTCTGTGATTCATGTGGTTTAGTTGACAGAAGGCTAATTGTTATGAGAGCTACTGGTTAGTTTGGTTAACAAGTCATATCAAATGTTAAGAAACCCAGTGTTTATTAATTGTTGAAATGCTGATGGCTTTTTTTAATGTGTGCTTTAGGTTTCTGATATAGACAGCTGTTATCTAATTATTGTAGTATTAAATTGAGGTTATGATCTTTGATTTCAAATTGGTGAGATTTTGATAGCACATGTGGACGATGTCTGATAATGTTCTTTGCTGAGTTACTGAAGGCCGATTTATTACGGACTAATTCTGTCAGTCGAGTTTTCTTGCCGGTGTCTTTTTGACTCAAGAAACTGACAAGTTGATGTGTAAGTTGGTCTAATTGGTCTTATTGATCTGTGTTTCATGTGGTTTTGGTATCTGATTTGCGATTTAAAAAAAAGAGCCTCTGACACTAGCATTCTCTATTCTTTTTCTATTCTATCTTCTTGTTTTCTTTTTATTTATTAAAAAGACTCTGATAGAGATTAACTGAAAATAAAACTAAAACCATTAAACACACATACACACACACACATATTTTTGTTACTTGAAATAATATAAACTAAAATTGAGTTATATAACTAGTATAATTAGTATAATAACTAAAACTGAAATGAAAATTAATAAAACTATGTAGACATTAAAAACGTTAAAATTAAAAATATTTAAAAATATTAATAAATAGTGTGTAATTCGTTTTAATAAACAGTTAAATAAAATAGTGTCTCAGTTGTACTAAAATAACCCTGGTGGTTCTTTCTCCAGTGGTTTTTGGTTGGTTTGAACACGCAGCATGTGCCAGTGAAGCTCACACACTCTGGCTCTACAACTTTCTGCTGACACTCATAATAAATGAAGCTAATTCGGTTGGAGAGGGTTGATGTTATTCGTAAAACTGCCTTAATTCACTGTCAGCTGCACTCGGTCTGAATGACCCAGGACACGTCAGGAGTTCTTCTTAAACCACAGATCTGTTTAATTGGTCAGTTTCACGCATACTATCATCTCTAGCTGTCAGGAAATATGAGGCCAGAGATCGTTCCGCACGTGCCGCTCCTTGTATGAGGTTTCATAGAGGGGCAGGGAAGAGAATGGATGGCGTTAGAAAGCTCTTTTGCTTGTCTCTTCATCATTCTGTGGTGTTATTATCCTCCTATTATTGTGTGGAGCCTCTAGAAAGAGCCCAAACAGGACAGAGAGCTGCAGGTCAGCTGGAGGTCATGATACAGGACCAGACGGAATCTGCACGTATAATTGAGGGAATTCTGCAGAATTCATTTATGATGATTTGTGATAAAATGTGTTAAATGTACTACGTGAAAGCATATCCTATTAGGCAAAATATTTCAGATCCAAACACGTAAAGGGGCTGAAGATGTGTGGAGCTTTGTGAATGACAGCAGTCACAGTTTTGTGGAAATCTGCTCAATTCGAGCGCTGGGTCCGTGTGTCCGGATCGCAGATTTCAGATCAGATCAGGCTGATCTCAGATCAGGCAAACTCTTCTGCATCTAGTTTCTTTTTATGTTTAGATCACTGTATAAACCAGGCAAGAAAATTAATCTGCGCTATGTATTGGACTGTGCTGTTTTTCATGTGTTTTCATGACAGATGATTTCCACATGTCAGTCATCATGGATCTGCAAACTAAACGCTACAGTTTAATAATACTCTTATTAATAACATTAACCAACATTATGTAATGCGTAATGCTCAACGTCAGTAGACATTCTTCTTGTTACTAGACATGTCATGTATATATTTAATATTTTACTTAATGAACTATTGATCTGTTGTTTGTTAATGGCTTATGACGTTTAAAGTACACAAAAATTGCTTACTTTCTCAGTTGATCTTTGTTATCCATATTTGATGGTTATAAAGCAGAGGTTTTGTTATTTCTGACTGAAATCTGATTAAATGCTTAAAACACTGCACATTGTATATTAATGTGGCAAGTTGCTATGTTTCTTAGAAATAATAAGCAGCCCAAAGACAGGCTAATAAACTATTTGGCAGTGTTCATTTAATTTAATTTATATATTATTATTATTATAGAATTTATAATTATTTGAATTAAATTATATTTTGATATTTTCAGTTTTCATTTTAATGTATTAATATATTGTGTTTTATTTATTTTTGTAATTTTTTAAATATTTAGTAAATGTAGTACTTCAATGTAAATGTATTTATTTCAGTTAGGTGCCAAGACAACATTTTGCTTAAATAACATTTCTTAGTTTATTCAGTTGTTAAAATGCTGTTCTGACCTCTGTTTTCAGGATTACATCTGTCCGCGGTGTGAGTCCGGCTTCATCGAGGAGTTGCCAGGAGAGGGAAGGTAAAGTACTGACCTGCTGCTGCCGTGGATCTGGAGAACTGGTTCATTTGGACAGGAACATCAGAAGTAGTGTTACGGTTTTGCCAAACTTCCACATCAGGAAACCTGTTTGTCTCATTGATTTCCTCAGCAGGATGAAGGCAGTTTAGCTCCAAATGCTGTGAATGTGATATTTACATGCATTAGAAAAATAAAACAATGGTGTGCAGATTTGATAGTTTCTATCAGTTTTTGTTGACGCTGAGTTTCCTGAATATACATTTGCTGTAGGGCTGCACGATAAATCGCATGCGATATTTAATGCGCATCTTGTCAGAAAGCCGGTTCTGTAATCAGCGGTAAATCTCCATCACCTGCGGGCTTTCACATTGAGCAGCATTAACTACACAGAGCCG